TTTTTTGTAGAGATAGGAATCTTACTGTGTTGCTCAGGCTGGTCCTGAACTCCTGGCCTCAAGCGATTCGCCCACCTTAGCCTCCCAAAGTGCTGGGATGACAGGCATGAGCCAACGCACCTGGCTGGTGCTGCCTCTTGAGCACAAATCTATAGTCCTGTGAATTATAAGGCAGGACTAGGCAATTCATCTGCATCAGAACTTACCAAAGGAGGCCCCAACTGTTGGTGAAGAGAAAAAATTAGTGAGGAGAATTGCTTTAGAGCACTGGCTTAACCTTGGCGCCACTCAGGTTCCAGGTGGCATAATATGCATTGTAGGGTATTTAGTAGCATCTTTGGCCTCTGTTCCCTACATGCCAGTAGCATGCCCCTGTTGTGGCAACCAATAATGTCTCTAGATGTTGCCAAATGTCCCCTAGGGGGCAAGAGTACCCCTGGTTGAGAACCACAGGCTTGGACAGAGCTGCGTGGTGAATTCCACCTTCCAGGCGAGGGTGAGGTTGCTAGCTCCCAACCAAGCCCCAAAGGCACAGTGGGCTGTAAGAAGACCCTTTGGAGAGCTTGTTATCCCTCTGGCAGTGGATGGGTGCCTAAGATTTTAGGTCCTAAATTTAGGCTATGTTTGCAATTTTTTTTTTTTTTTGGAAAGAGAGTCTTCTTGCTCTGTTGCCCAGGCTGGTGTGCAACAGCGTGGTTATAACTCATTGCAGCCTTGAACTCCTGGGCTCAAGTAATCCTCCTGCCTCAGCCTCCCTACTAACTGGGACCACGGGCATGCAGCACCATGCCCAGCTAACTTATTTCTGGTTTTGTTTGTTTAATTTGAAATCTTGACTTCCCTCCCCCAAGTGGGTGCAAAAGAAAAAAAAAGATGAGAGCGGCTAAAGAAGGTGAGTCAGTAATGAAACAGAGAAGCTGGAGGGGGCATCAGAGTGTGGTCGCTGGCAGGACAGGCGGGCACGGTGGCGCAGTTGCCCTGTTGTTCACTAATTCTTGGAGCAGCTGCTCGGCCTGCACCTTCTCCAGTAGCAGGCTCTGTTCCAGCTCCCTAATGTGCTCATACTCCAGCTGGGTCTGGGTCTGGTCCACCCAGGGTGGACATGGTGGGGTGGGAGGAGTAGGGATGCAGGGAGTGGGGCACAGGGAAGAAGAAGCTAGAGAAAGAGAGGAAGAGAAAGAGAGGAGGCATCATCTTCTGGGAACAAGGTGAGGAAAGCAGATATGAGCCAGAATTGCTCAGGTAAAGAGAGGAAGTCTGGGGAGGTGGTGGCCATGGGGCCTGACTCCCACCCCTCATCTTGTCCTGCTTGGGTCTGTGTAGGGCAGAGCAGAGGCTGAAGCCATCCTCCCTCACCAGCCCCTGCTTGGGGTAGCAATGGCCATCTCGACTTTTAGTCACCCCCGATCCCCAACCAGCAGCCCTTGACCTTGAAGGTCTTCTTCAAGGATCTGCTCCTGGGAAGGGGCCCATCTTGTTCCTGTTCCCCTACAGGCTGTCACTGGTTGCAGGCAAAGCATCCTTCACATAGGAGTCTCCCCCAGGATGAGGAATAAATAAAGGACCCCAGGGTTTCCACTCCCTCCAGGCCCGTGCTAAAGGTGCAAGAACCCATAACACAAAAGATGTTTCCAAAATGTACCCTCTCCCTCACGATTCTTTCTGCCCCAGCCTCCTTGATGAAGGCTGGGCTGTGCCTCCCACCACCGCGGGGCTCCATCAATGACCACCCCCCAGACCCCACAGAGGATGCCTGGTCTCCAGAAATCACAAGGACACTTTTGTCCCAGCCTAACAATATCTGCTTCATCTGCCGAAAAAGGCCAGCATTCTCAGGGTGTCAAGGCTGACATTTCCCATAACAGATCTTGGAAGGGAAGCCGGGGAGGGTGAGGACTTTTGGAGCGAGTTGGAAAACCAAGCTTATCTTAGGGAGACGCCAGAGGGTGCTCTTTATTCTCCGGGAGAGAAGGGGTTAATCAGCTGCAGGGCTGTTCTTAAGGGGGGGAGCTTAGCAAAACAGCATCTAGGTGTGAAACATGGAGTAAAACCCCGGAAACTCACCTATTGGTGAAGGTGTTAACAGACCCCACCTAATGAAAAATACTCCTGCAATTCTTTAAGAGACATTGAGATGACTTCTTGAATTTTTTTAAGGAACAACAAAAAATGGTTCTCTCTCTCCCCTCCTCTCTCCTTCCCCTCCCTTTCCCTCTCTCTCTCTCCCTCTCTCTCTCTCCTCGCCTTCTCACTCTTTTCTCTCCTTTCTCCCCCACCCCGTCTCCCTCCTTCCCTGTTTTCCCTCTCTCTCCCTTCCTCTCTGTCTTTCTCTCTCCCTCCTAGCATTTTCCCTTTTCCCTCTTTCTCCCTCCTTCCCTCTCGCCTCCTCCTTTTCCTCTCTCTCCCTCCCTCCCTCTCTCTCTTTTCTCCCTCCCTCTCACCTCCTGCTCCTTTTTCTCTCTCTCCCTCCCTCCCTCTCCTCTGTGTCTCCTTCCCTCTCTCTTTCTCTCCTCTCCCTCCCTCCCCCACCTCTCCTGCATCCCTGGCTGTGTGTTCCAGTGCCAACAAGAAGTCAGCCTGTCTCTTCCAGAAATCCACAATCTCCATGCCAGCCTCGCAGCGAGTCCCACCCTCACCTCCCGAGTGGTGGACACAACAGCCCTGCCGGGAAACCTTCATAGATGGTGCAGGATACACACTGAACTGGTAGCCCCCACAGGCAAGAAAAAGCCTCCAGCTTCCCAATTTCAAGGGCAACTTCATTTGGTCCCACCCTGGAGGACTCCTTCCCTCACTTTCTTTTTTTCTTTTTTTTTGAGATAGTATTTTCCTCTTTCACCCAGGCTGGAGTGCAATGGTGCGATCTTGGCTCACTGCAACCTCACCTCTTGGGTTCAAGAGATTCTCCAGCCTCAGCCTTCCACATAGCTGGGATTATAGGTGCCTAGCTTCATGCCCAGCTAATTTTTGTATTTTTAGTAGAGACAGTGTTTCCCCACACTGGCCAGGCTGGTCTTGAACCCCTGACCTCATGTCATCCACCTGACTTGGCTTCCCAAAGTGGAGGGATTACAGGCATGAGCCACTGTGCCTGGACTCTCAAAGAGTTTCTATTCTGGAGTGGGGAGGCGGAAATGGAAACCATAAAACAATAGTGAAGGTCATTCTAGATTGCAATTTGCACTGTGAACAGAGAGCACTGGGGAGAGAGTAGCTGGAATGAAGGTTAAATAGAGAAAACATGTAATTCACTAGTTCTGAAGGGTGAGAAGGGACTCCTCATACAAGCAGGCTTGGGAGGAAGAGGCGCAAGTGTTTCAGGTGGGGGAACTAGCGTGTACAAAAGCTCAGAGGCAGGATACAGCTGTGGTGTCCCAGGAACAGAGAAAAGCCTGGAGCATGATAACATAGGGGCAGGGGTGTGAGACAGGGCTGGGACAAGAGGGGGTGGGCTGGGCCCTGGGGGTCTTCTCTAGTCCACTCTACGAGCCTAGATGACCTCTAGTGTCATGGTGCTAGTCGTGTGAGCAGGAAAGGGGCAGGATCTGATTTTTATTTTAAAAATTTTCTTTTTGAGACAGAGTCTTGCTGTCACACAGGGTGGAGTGCAGTGGTGCAAGCCTGAGTCACAGCAACCTCGGCCTCCTGGGTTCCAGCGATTCTCCTGCCTCAGCCTCTCAAGTAGCTGGAATTACAGGCAAGCACCACCATGCCTGGCTAATTTTTGTATTTTTAGTAGAGATGGGGTTTCTCCATGTTGGCCAGGCAGGTTTCAAGCTCCTGAGCTCATGATCAGTTTGCCCCAGCCTCCCAAAGTACTGGGATTAGAGGCATCAGCCACCATACCAGTTTTTTTTTCTTTTTTTTAGACAAGGTCTTGCTCTTGCTCCGTTGCCCAGGCTGGAGTGCAGTGGTGTAATCACAGCTCACTGCAGCCTCCACCACCTGGGCTCAAGCAGTCCTCCCACCTCAGCCTCCCAAGTAACTGAGACCATAGGAATGCGTTTCCATATCTGGATAATTTTTCCATTTGGGGTAGCGACAAGGTCTCCCTGTATTTCCCAGGCTAGTCTTGAACTCCTGGGTTTAAGCAATCCTCCTGCCTTAGCTTCCCAAGGTGCTTGGATTACAAGCGTGTACCACCTCAAATGCCTTATTTTTAAAATATTTTTGTAGAAACAGGGTCTTGCTATGTTGCCCAGGCTGGTCTCAAATTCCTGGGCTCAAGGAGTCCTCCTGTCTCAGGCTCCCAAAGCACTGGGACATGAGCCACTGTTCCCAGACAGCTATGTGGATTTGGGGGCCAATTCCTGAGATGGGAACTATAAGGGGGGTGGTGTTAGGGAAGGCATGGATAGAGAACATGGAACTGAGACGTGGTTAGGACACGTTCCATTGGGATGTGGTCCCAGGTTGAATAGTGTCCTCTTAAATTTCATGCCCACTCAGAACCTCAGAATGTGACCTTAGCCAGGCATGGTGGCTCACACCTATAATCCCAGAAGTTTGGGAGGCTGAGGTGGGAGATCATGTGAGCTTAGAAGTCTGAGACCAGCCTGGGCAATATAGTGAGACCCCATCTGTGACCTTATTTGGAATAGGGTCTTGGACATGTAATTAGTTAAAATGAAGTTTGCTAGATTAGGATTGGATTAGAGTGGGCCCTAAATTCAGTGACTGCTGTCTTCATAAGATGAAGTGCCACACAAGGGAAGGTGGCAAAATGACACAGGCAGAGACTGGCCTGATGCAGTTATACAGGCCAAGGAGCACCAAGAATTGCTGGCAGTCCTACTGGAAGGCAGGACAGAGGATGGAACAGATTCTCCAACACCTTGATTTTCAGACTTTTTTTTTTTTTTTTTT